ATTTATTTCTCAACCAAATGCTCCAAGCCTCCAACACCCTTAGTCACGCAACCCCCCCGGCACCCATAAACCCCTTTCCCCCAACCCCCCCCTCATTCCATCGCCGCTCATGGCGATTCATCCTTCTTCATGAAAAGTAAAAAAAAAGACCCTACGGCATGTGCCGGAGGCCCGGAGTCCATGACCATTTGTGAGTCGCACTTACCTCAATGACAAGGGTGAAGTGGCTCACAAATCCAGAATAGCCCGCTGCAAAGCTCCGGCTTGCATAAGCAATTGGATGCCTTGATGCCTCCATTGCCCTCAACCCACACTCTTTTGTAAGTTTGTGGGCAGCCAGTCCATGCACAACGACTGACATAATATTATGGGACACACAACACATGTTGTGCGCCATGCTGTGCTGTGTGCCGTCAAAGGACAAACAAACAACATGCAACAGTTTGTCCTTTGCATCTGTTTTTTTTTCTTTTTTCTTTTTTTTCCTCACAGTTCACAATCTCTCTCACCTTTTTTTTTGTCTTTTTTTTTTAGGGAGGTGCACATGTGCAGCGTCACCGACATGCAGCTTGTGCGGGGTCGCACCAACCCACACATTCACACCAGTGTCACCAACCCACACACAGGCTGGGGTCGGGCTGCAGGGGCCGCTGTGCAGGGTCGCCGCCGGGGATACCCGCGGCGGGGCAGGGGACCAGATTGAGGCGGCGGGGACCGGTGGTCGGGGGTGGCGGGCTCCGGTGGGGTCAGGGTTGCAGGGGCCGGCACCGGTGATCGGGGGTGGCGGGGTCCGGTGGTCGGTGGTGACGGGGTCCAGCGGGGTCGGGGTTGCGGGGGCGGGCACCGGTGATCGGGGGTGGCGGTGTCGGAGCAAACACCCTTACAAGGGTATTTGCTCATGATTTTGCATTCGATAGAATATCGACGCTGGTCGCCGTGCCGGAGACAGGCTGGAGTAAAAAGTGAGAATTTTTTTGGCCCGGCACTGTGAAGCAAACTTCTCGACCATGGAGGCCGAGATTTCTAGGCAACCATATGCAAGGATACGACGCATATGACACCAGGAAAGGGTTAGTAAAAATTCAAAGTCTTCGGCCGCGAGAGCCGGAGGGTTGGATGAGGACAAAAAAAGGGTCGTGCGGGATGCATCGACCACAATCTAAATCAGTCAAAGGTTCATGCGGTAAGGGAAAAACGAATTAGATCTAGTCCA